TCTCATCAATCTGGTTATGATCTCTGAAAGGTCCTTGACGTTTGGCAACATCGTTTTTGTGCCGCATCCTTTGTTGTTTATTAGTTAGATCAGAATCTTTTTGATGAAACTGTGGGTTTGCCGTAGCAATCAAACACAGTTAATATGTCTCCTACAAGTTTTCTGTCATGAACCTTATTGAGTTGGCCCTTGAAAAGAGTAAATCCCACAATACTGAAGATTTTATATTCTCTTAAGAGAACCTGGGACATAAGGTCCCTTCAGGATATTTGAAATATTGAAGCGAACGGTAGTACAGCAGACTATCATGAAAGTTGGCTAGCAGTAGCCGGATTCGAACCTCAAACCTTGGAGATCGATGTTATCCAGCGACAGTGAGCTCAACTGCTCCATCATTACTACCTAACTTGGTACATGCAGAATATGCGAACATGGCCTTCACGACCGAGAGGATAAAAACAGTTCGAACCAAAATACTGAAGTTTTGCTGAGTGATTGTCCGCTTACGTTGCATACATTTTTTCGGATAGCATGAGCTGTTCAATATACCGACCTCTTTGAAACGTTGTACTTACATCTTCAAAGTGTTCAGCTTTCAGCAACTCCCATAACCATCACTTTTCTTGTGATCATATAAATATATATATATATATATAATCAGTCTTTACAGATACGGGGTCAAAATAATCATGAGCTTAACGCAAAAAGCACGCGACGCTCCATATGCGTGGGTGATGTGGGTAATGTTGCGCAGACAATGGTTGTTGAAAAAGCATAGTCGTTAGACATGATCTACCGACATTAGTGTCTCCATATAGGAAGACAGAATATCAAAAATAGAAGAATCGCTGCTGCTCGTGGGGCGGTAATTAGTACGAAAATAGTGGTTGAAAGAAGGGAATTGAGCCACATAGTAAGCTAAAATTCACGGTTAGAAAAGTCTAAGTGCTAAAGTCGGGAAGAAGCGACGGAACGATAGATATAGGCGCAGACACCAGCTTTAGAAAGAAAAGAAGAATGGAGGAAGTAATTAGGGAACTGAAGATAAGTAGTGTCTGACGAGGAGGAGATTTGTGTCTCCGTCAAAAATAAAGCCAAGGGAGAAGAAGACTGGAGAAAGTAGTGTACAGAATCAACGTCTCAATTTAAACTACGAAGGTGGGCGAGGGCCATGGAGTGTTGCAAATTTGTAAGTGGAGTGCGCATTACTTCATTTTGTAGGTTGTATTGATCATATGTGGTGTGAGAGAAGACCGGAAACCCATCCCTGAGACTTGGAGTGGTAAACCACATAGGTTGAGCGTGGTAGTGAGCCGGGCGACAACAGGGCTGCCTACCACCGATCTGCTCGGAAAGACCAGGTTTCGCAGCCATCGAGCAACAAGGCGCGTACCGCTGCGCAATACACACGCCCTTTCGGTGAAAGGGATACGCCGCGCCGACGCCGGAGATACTGTAGATTAGCAAAAACGAATCTAGCTTTTGTTACGCGTTGAGAGATCTACTCGCCCACGCCTCCGCCTGCCGTTATGCAACTCCCGAGTCAGATAAAGCTTTCGACTTCTTCCAAAGTGTGGTTGCCCAAAGAAAATGCAGGAACGGGTTCCTGCCCAACTTGCAGCAAAACCTTGCACCTTGAAGGTGCAAAGGACGTGCCGTAACGAGCAACCTTATTTGCCGAAGGATTCACCGAATTTTGAATCGTCGGCTCGATATCACTGAGTAAGACATTATCATCGATATACTTTAAGTTTACGACTCTGTCTGCCGGTCGAAGCTCGAGGACACCGTCCTTTACGTTAATTGACCCTTTTTTGTAGAACATCATCTATGAAAAAGTTGAAGAAAAACGGAGAGATAGAGCAACCCAGTCGTACCTCACTGTGGACAGGAAATGAGAGTGAAAGTTCACCATAGGCCCTTACGTTCCCCCAGGTCTGAGCATTGTGATAATGATTGCATAAAATTATCATGGGCCAACACTGGACAACATTTGAAGTGTTCAAAATCCTTGATCAGATTGAGGTGAGTTCCAAGAGAATTCGGTGTTTTCGTGATAAGGAAGCTGGGGTTTCATCGCAGAAAATGTAGGCCATAATGTTTTGGTCAAATACATCTCCAGCATATTTTACAATATATGTACCTTTTGTGATATTTTTGAACATTTGATTATCTACAGTGTTTTCCAACAAGAATAGTTGAAGACAAGACTAAAAAATGGAAAACACATTGGCTCTAATAAGGCAAACTGAAAAAAAGAGCGCAGCCCCATTCGAAATGCTCATATCAAAATTGTTCTCAATTCATTTATCGATTGACCGGTTGAGCAGGGGATAACAATATACCAAGGCAATTTCCCCTGTATGAATTTATTTAGCACCATGTATAGATTGACAAAAGATGTCAGATATTCATTTCGTCCTTATTCAGATTTGTTCATTGTGCCTATTTGTTGCGTCTTTATCGGAGATTCGAACTTACAAGGTGATGAAATCCACACATGCACAAAGACAGACAACAAAATCAAAACCCAGAGTCTGTGAATTCGCGCAGAACATTAGCTAACCACCATACCTAAAAATAGCTTTTTTGTGCTAGCATTCAAGGCAAACTTTGGCGTTGGTTTGAAAGTGTATCTCAATAACAAGATAGTTTGGTGCGTCCATCATTGTCATACTAACCAGTTAAACTGAATCTGGTAGTTAACATATTATTTACCCAGTAATGTTTAATTAAAGATCTTCAAATTCAGTTTGATTGGACGCGCAAGTCACTAAGTAAGTCTCAACTGATAAGCGTAATAAAGTTCCCCAGGCTAAAAGGAACTGCAGTGGAGACTTATCAATACAGATGATTAAAATCTATTTATACAGTAGTAACTCTTCAATGAGCTGACGATGAGCATAAATTAAAGTATTTTACTTATTCCTTTCGATGAATAAATATGCTAAGAATAGAAAATGAACAATCGTGCGATAATTATGACCTGTGGATGGCGGACTCGTACGCTGCAGGCTATGTAATTTGAAAGTCTCGAGAGAATTGGTCTTTTGTACAGAAGGACAAAGGACACTGAAAGTTATCGCGCAGCTGTTTCAGTTTTGGAGGGCACTGTCTGCTACATGAATCCGATAACCTTGTGAGGATAGATAGATGGAACAGACCACAGTCCAAGTGCATAAGTTCCGAACTAACGGACAGCTCATCAAACGGTTTGCATTGTTCTACACAAGATACAGAACAACTCCGTTCTACAAGCTTTCTTATCCCCAACTATTCTGGTTATCAACTAATTCAATCTAGTCGAATAAGTTTCCTAGCTCCATAATATGTGCTTCAATCATTATTCGCAAGTCAATAGACCCGATAACAAAGCTTGTTAGAGNTTCCCTATTTTTTGATAAATAAAAGCACAACGTTTTGATAAGCAAGTCTGTTTTTGACAACACTGTCCTCAGTCTGATACGGTATGACATAATAAAAAGCCATCTGTTTTGATGCTGACATTGGATTCACTGAAGTGAGAAGTTTGGATTTTGGTCGTACTAGTGAACACGATAGTCCATTCTGCTTAATTTGCAANATCACAATGTATTACACCAGACGAATCGGACACAAACACATGGAAGTGGAAACACGAGTGAATTTGTTTTTGTGAGACAACTAAATTGGAACGAGGAAGAGTTTATCCGAAAAAGTTGGATTCTTATATCAATAGGGCGTTTCGAATCCCTTTTCAAACACAATAGTTTCCAAACTTAAACATGACTCAGTGTATTTCAGTGGATCGAGGGAGTTGGTAGAAAGTGATCATATTTAGAACATATGACCAATTGCTGTGGTGAATTGTGAAAGCAATATCCAAGGTCACATCAGAGAGACTGAAGTAGTTGGCGTTCAATTTTTAGTTATCAGTATTATTGTTAATGTTCTTACTATGCGTAAAGTGAGATAAAGATCCCGCGGAAGCATATGAAGAGTTTTGTGTTTGTATGCTTTCTCGGTATTCTTTTTGGTCATCCAAATACTTGTACCCCTGTTGGTTGGCATAGTGTTGTGAGATACTACTCACTTGTGAGTAGTAGTTAACATAGTTGGTGATTACTTTTGACGACCAAAAGTCAAGATCACCAAGGGCAAATTGCTGCATCTCAAAGAATACCTATCGACTGATACATTGATTACCCTTCATGCGACCAGGAACTGCGATGGTATGTTTCTGATGAGATTTTCTGTGTTATGTATGCCAAATTGCTGATGTCCCATCTGTTATTTTCAATAAACGACTATTCTCAACCAGCACCACCTTTTGGAATTATAACAATAATACCACTTATTGAGGAGTTTTATCCCACGAACTACTTTGAGTTGTCCATGTGTGCATCCGTATTATTTCATCCGATTACTTAGAAATTAATTAGTTGAATGTTTTCCACAAAACTAATGCAAAAATAGAGCGGTCCTTTACACATGAGTATCTCGAAAATGGATCAACTAAAGAACTACTCTTATGAATATAAATTCAAAATTTAAAAAGGACGATGATTTTCTTTATTTCCAATCCATGACCACCATTTTATGTGGTACAGATCGATATTACTAAACCATTGCGTGTTTACGACAACGTGCAGCTCATATCACCGGCCTGTTGTGTTTGCACTGGAAACTGAATTTTTCTTAGTTCCACAAATATACTCAACTTGGGATCATCAGTTCAATCAGAGGTATTGATCAAACTCGGGCTTCGTGATTCCCATTTGGGAAAAACACTTTGCTCGCCAATATCATAAGTGCATATCAGTAGTAATGGATGAGGAGAATTCATTCCGAACTTTATCTCTCACTGTAATGTTCTCAGTTCTCTTGCATTGCCGTTTGAATTTGCGCGAATTTGGGTGTAGTGATAAAAAGATTTTAGTAGTTCGAAAGTTACAGCTCACAATTAAGAGATATTTTATGGAATGGAGCATGGAAGTTTATTCTTTCTAATAAATGATTACTGTTTCATGAGGGTGTTTATTCTGGTCAATACACGCGAGGATGTTCTTAGAAAACAGTTAGACCTCACTAGATATTGTTTTTTTCATAATCATGCAGTTTCTGGATGGGTCAAGTACAGTGTCGAATTCATTCAATTACCGCTCAGCAGTTGGAATTCTAATGTAATCGAAAATGTTTCTCTGTATTGGAAACAAGGATAAGTTATCTCCCTCGACGGTGGTCGTCAATGGCCAGGGTGCGGCATGTATCAGAGGAAACTGACAAATACTATTTGGCAATCAAGTTGTTCGACTCCATACGAAAACGATTGACCCCAGTGGTCAAAATAAACAAGAGCAAATAGGACATTGATAAATTAAAAGTAAATAAGTGGACATTAGTGATGTGGCGCAACAGCATATTCAACCTCGTGAATGAGGCTCGAAATCCAAAACGTTGAGAGGAACAAATGTCATAAAAGTGAGGGTATCGCTCGAGTTTGATCAATACCTGTATAGTATAGTACTCCTCAGCATAGTGAATTTGACCCAATGTCACTTTGTGAATCAAATAACAATAGCTAGTGACTAAAAGGAGATAACGGGCAGCCCATTTTTGGCGCGCGGATACACGCCCCCAACCAAGAACACAAACTCACCTTCAACGTACAAAGTGGAGGAATGATGCATAATCTTCAGATTGATACGTCCACGACGTTCTGTGTGATCAACACCACATAGACGCGGCACATTTGACTCACAGCGTTTGTGAACATTCATGTCACAACCTTAATAAAGATAAACTGATTCCGAATGTAATCGCTCACTTTGACACTTGAGCCCCTGTTGAACCAATCCATACAACAGAGAGCCACAGTGATCACAAAATGTGGGGCTGGAAAATGTGTGCGTGAAAAATTTGTGACATCGTTTGAACTGAAATGGGAGAACAATGAAATAGGGCATCGATTCCTTACATCACCCTGTGGACAAACATCCGCCCCGGGACATTTGAATGCAACCAACTGGTAACAACGTTTGTGAACGGCAAAACAACAAATTTTGCATTGAACTCCTTGCTTTCCGAGGCCCCTACAAAACATAACCGTGTACAAGTTGTTGCTTTGGAACCAGTCAAAACACTGTACCATATGAAATCCTTACAATGACCGCAAAATGTGAATTGTTTGAAAAATGTCGCGACAAATTTGTGTCCATTCACTTCGGTCACATTTTTCTGACGGAGAGCACCTTTACGCTCGAAATTATTATTGCCCACATCTACTGGAGCCCCACGACTCCCGACTCGATCCAAAGTCATTGAGATACGACGCAACAAGGGGGGAGGATCAGTTGGGATCTGGGGCCAGTCACAAATCGGTCACGTTCTGAAAAGAGACAGTAAAAGGTAGTGTTGAAATGATCAGTATGAAGTCGACAATAGTGATAATTTGTGCATTCCCACGATTGGAAGAGGAAGAAGAAATCGGTTTGAAAGGCAATGTTTATTAAATAAATAAATTGATTGGCAAAATGATTCAAGGCACTTATGGAAATCAGTCTATCCAAAGAAAAAAATATTAGAAAATCAATCATTTTGAAAAAGGAAGACTAAACAAACAACATTTTTGATCATCCAATCGCCCCGTGATTTTTGTCATCATTATTCACGCGGTATCAAAATCTGTGAGAGAGGGGAAAAGGGAAGTGGAAAATCTCATGATAAGTATTTCATTTTTGTGAACAAACCATAAAAACGACTACTGTCTTCCTACGATGCATAGTATGCCTACAAATCGCATATTTGAAGGATTGGTTCTTGGTTCTTGTCATCAAGTTACCATTATTCCAATCCCCAAGTTCTTGCGAAACGGGTTCGTCCCATCACACTGATCTCTGCAACTCCAAAGTTGACTGAAAAGGCCATTTTCAGTCGTTTGCAGTCCATTACCACAATCCCTTGCGACTACCTCCAGTTCGTATATAAACTCAACAGAGCGACATTGGATGCCGTATCCAATCTAACTTTGAACAATTTGGCCAAGACTGTTCGTCGTTTTTTTAAGGACTATTCGTATGCGTCTGTTTCTCGATCATCTCTTCTTGTCAAACTTGAATATTTTGGCACTCCGAGACGGCTGCTCTCACAGCTTGCTGACTATTTCACCGGTCCAGTGCACAACATTAGGAAGAAGGGAATCAAAACCTCTTCTTAATAATTCGAGTGTGCTTCAAGGTGTTGTTCCATCTTCATATCGTTTTTCTGCTTCCATTAGTGATCTTTCGGTCCTACCCCCTGCACACATCCAAAAGTATGCCAAAAAGGTAGTTTTCTGCCATCTCCTTCAGAATTTCGTTCTTTTACTGAAAATCTATTCGATATTCAACAGTGAGTAAAGTGTGTCTTCATACGCTGCTACCCTAACTGTAAACATGCGTGTCCAGAATGACCTCAATCAAGTACCGGGATGTCACCATTGACAGCAAACTCCGGTGGTCCACACATTTACAGTTGTATGGAGTACTGAGATGCCTCTCTTTTCATTTACACAAAACTCAGGCAATTCCGAACCCCACAGTCAGTCCTGTCCTCTTTCCTTCACCAATGCGTTTACCCATTCTACCCTGTTGACCCCTGTAGTGTTTCCCGCTCTGTTAAGACAAAACTCCAAATCCATTTGTCGTGATTTGGTGATAATTGGTCATTGGCATCATTAATCTCAATCGATTCAATAATCACAGAGCTCAACTATGTTTGCCGCAACTCTTGTGTTATATTTGCCAATAAGATTCTAGAAAAACCTCTTTATCCACTGCATCCCGATCTATCATCTTGTCGTTCCCATCTGTTCACACGCTCACCTTTTCGGCATCTACCCTATCGTATTACCATTTGTAAGAATTCTTCTGTACCCTACCTGGTCCGAATCCTAACCAGTAAGGAAAAGGTCGCAAGTGAATTACGTCAAAATTTAGTACATGAAACAAACTTGGTGACATTCTTTAGTCTGCATGTTAAACGAAACTGTGTATTTTATTCCGTGTGAAGACGTGTACATTTGCAACTGAAATATAAGCATATAATCTTATACAAGTTATACAAATACAAATACAAAATACAAAAAGTGAGAACTTCAATCATCCAGGACTATTGTTCTGTAAAACTCGAATCACAGGGCGTCCTCATTGAGGCTCTCGCAAATCCTACGGTCTCCTTTTATAATAATTCATTGTCTAATTGTTACAATCAATACGCCCCCTCTCACGAAAGCCTGTATAAGTACTCCAGTGTCGATACAGTTGTTTTCAGTTTGTACAACCATTACCCGTCCGTTTTCATGTTCCGGTTTTGGCGGCTGTCTTTTGGTTGCCCATTTGGATAAAAGAGCAGAATGCAGAGTAGAATGTTGATAGCGCAGTCAAAGTGAATGTAGAGGATTCATTCAGACTGGAGTTGCAAGAATATTAGATGGATGAGCGCCACGGTTTACAACACTCAGTCGTATCACTCACTGCCTCGAACCATCGGTTACCATGATCTCGGGTTTCCGATCCAGGAGGCTTAGAGCGAACTGCGTTACACAGTGTTCTGGTTAGGGTTTTCATACCCTCATGCCCGGTCATAGTTTGACTGCCCTTGACCTTTATCCATCGGCTGCCTGCCTAGACAAACAACCCGCGCCGTGGCAACCATTTGCCTATATGCATAGCACGTCCCAGCGAGCGNGTCTATGAAGGTCAAATACTTGTTCAAGTGGACGACCGCGATTACCTAAAAATCTACACCTAACCTCAGCATTGCTTCTCCGGTTTGCCCGCCAGACTCGTGCAATGCGGCGTAGACAGTGGTGTTCAAACACTATTTTACTATTTTTACCCTAGTCCCGTAATTGCCAAATCTCTGCACCGTATAGCAGTCTATACTCAACTCTTCACATACAGCCGGATATCTCGACGGCGCCACAGATGTCTCAATGTGGCAAATGACAACCGAGCGTTCTGTACGTAACATTTTGAAGGTACAAAACCCATACCGAACATGGCTAAACTAGCACTCAAACTATTCAGAAAAGCTTGCAAGTTACCTGAACAGTGTCGACACATGTTTCAGTTAACGGATTTATTCATTATCTTTTTATTCTACTTCCTTTTGTTGAATATGCCAAAATAAAACTCTTGGAAACGGAGAAGCAACCAATCAAAGGGCTGCCATTCAACACACAATGGTGAAAGTCAGGCGCGGCTGAGATTTGAACACATCCCCGGGGTGATAAATTGGTGACGTTACCACCGAGCCGCCACCCCCACGAATAGAGTGTCTGATGGTTTGTTTTCGAATATTCACGTTTTGTTTTCAGTCAGAAAATCATAAATCGATACATATTTTTATTCGTTATGACCCCGGTGACATTCTTAATATTCAATCTAGTGGAACACAACAGAAGTTATATTTCAATAAATTACCTGAGAGTTGCAGTTACATATACTGCCATGGTAATTCGCCTAATACATAGTATGATAATAACAATGTCTAAATTTGAGTAACTAAAACAATAACAATACACTGTGGCTATGATCGAATATTGCAAAATAAGACCTGTATACGAGTCTTTGCGATGTGAACCAGGTATGCACAATTAACAAATAATTTAAATATTTTTCCTCTTTACTATGTAAACACACAATAAGAACCAGTCGTTAATTTGCTTCTGAATATGCATACTTATTGTGTAGTGTGTGGGATGGAATTCTCTGACCACTGAACCAGAAAAATTATTACCGGCAAAACTGTGATAGGTCGTCACTTTAATGAAATTGTTTTTGACTCGCTAGTTAAGTAAAATCTGTGTTCCTGCAGTCAATACAGGGGGGATTATCAGAT